TTTTGTAATGGATTTCGCCAAACGAAACAGTTGATTCGGGATGCAATGTTCTTCAGAAGTAACAGAGAGATGCCTGAGAGGAGATTAGTTGACTATCTCACGGTGGAAATTGATCGCTTTAAGAGACGAACTGCAGCTCAAATAGATGACCGTTGTACATTTATTGGCAAAAAAGGTATCATATTGATATCCATGACGCACAGCCTGAAGACAGTGGACAATACTGGTGCTCCGTATACAGATTAAGACGACGGAGAGTTCACGTCAGCCGAGGTCACACGTACAGTCAATCCTTTGTTATCAAGGTTTCCACCTACATGTGAGGTAGTTCATACCCATCCAGAGATCGGCATGAGTGTCTCTTTAAGATGCAAACTCTCCAATCAAGACCCACCAAGCCTTTTGACGTGGTTTGAAAACCATCAAACGGTCTTGGTAGGCAAATAGAACCGTCATGTGTAACCCATCAGCCAGGACAGGCGCATTCGCTGGAGCTCGTCCTCAGTGAAAATGACAAAATGAAAGAGTTCACGTGTGTGGCTGGTCACGTCGGGGGACCAAACTGTTTACTGACACTTTTAAGAATTCCACCAATTATTACTGTCTCCCCGATAACTTAGCACGAGGGATAGAGAGTGACATTTACCTGTTACTTTGAGGCAGTATCCCATGTGACGACGGACGAGTACCGATGGCGTCTGAAAAGGCTCGATACTCAAAATGTGATAGGGGTTAGTATCTCAAAGTTCACCAACTTCGAGGGGCAATTCAACCTCAGTCTGCAGGGAAAGACACTTGAGATTCTTCCAACGTCAGCTGAAGAAAACGACAACTCTCATATAACATGCATCGCTATTCTCAGCGGCGAATCAATCCGAAGTGTGAATGATGCTATGCTGACTGGTGTGCCTGCTACAACTACAATAGATCCCCCGACCATCAACGCTGAGAAAACTGAATCAAAGAATAACGTCGCATACGCGGATGGCGACTCCTCTCAATGTTTCCCGTTGGCTGCAATTGTTGGAGGTGCCCTTGGAGCGATATTCTTCCTTGATGTAGCAGTCATACTTTTATGCTTCTGGATGAAAATAGAAGGAAGGCTAAAAGACATCGGGGAGTGTCCAGTCCTGGAGAAGAAAGGAGCAAGATTTCCAGGAAAGCACCGGAGATCTCACACATGTACCAAGACCTTCTGCAACAATCTACAGCAGACGTCTACGAGGATCTGAACCTAAAGCAACCATCCACTACAGCCAGAGACACAACGTCTGCTCTCTCCGTTGAGCAGACAAACAATCTACAGTGGACGTCTACTAGGATCCGAACCCAAAGCAACCATCTGCAACAGCCAGAGAGACAACGTCTGCTCTCTCCATTGAGCAGACTACTCTCTCCGTTGAGCAGAAAATCAATCTACAGTAGACGTCTACCAGGTCCGAATCCAAAGCAACCATCCGCTACAGCCAGAGAGACAACGTCTGCTCGCTCCCTTGAGCAGACCATCTACGATGAGGTTCCAATGGATGATTAAATTTAAATAGCAAATGGACCTGCATGCACGTTTAATAATAAAATGATAAGTTTCCTTAATTTCGCCCAATGCTATGCTTAACAATGCTAGGCTTTCGCACATGTACAAAGTCTGTATATTTCTGAAACCTCTATGGTGTCATTTTGTATATCGCAAAGGGAGAATCAACAGGTGAATGGGAATTCAACGAACATATCCAAAGCTCGGTATCAAAATGGGGGATATTCATGAAATAGGTCACAGCATATTCTTTGCTGAACTGACACAACCGATTACTCACAGCAGCTGCAACTCTCGGATAGCCTAAGGGTGTTCGACTCGTACTGTTGAAAAATCCAATCCACCAAATCCCTTACAAACAAAACAGTGAGCATTATATCTTCCCATTATTACCACTTCAGTCCTGGTCATTCCTTGGCAATGTCATTTGGAGTAATATTAGAAGGTAAGTGTATCAGAGCATGCAAAGTGTATACACAGATCTGGGCATGTCATCATTAAATACTCAAAGGAATCATTTTATAGAAGCCTACGGCTCAAATACAGATTCTGTACAGTCAAAAAAATGACCTGTCCTGCGTGTATCACAGGGCAAACAAGTAATATAAATCTTTGAACACTGTAAAATTCATTTTAGTCACTAGTCGAAATAGGCTGATATAAAAACAAATCTAATGGATAAAATTTCAATGGTTGCAAGCGTCTTAAAATTTACTCCAAACCCTACATGACGGTTGAAATAATATGAATATTTATGACTTTGAAATGGAGGAAAAGTACCATCTAATACGTCATTGTTTATTGAAAAATGAGATCCTTCATAATGAACACAAACATTTGGGCGTGTGTGAAAGTTTATGAACTCTTCTAAATTGTATGGAGTGCAAAGTTTAATTCGATTTCAGTGATTAATTTTAACTCTGACTACATAAGCTTGTGACTATGTCTGAAGTTGCTTTCCATGCAAAGCTTCGGTAGTTTCATATTTTTATCATTTATTTATTTAGTGTCAAGAACTGCTCGACGACATTTTGTTCGAAGCAAATCTGCAAATTTAAATAAATCTAGAGGCTGTGTCAACAATTTCCTACATTTTTCATTAAAATCTGTGTAAGATTTCCGGTCGAGAAGGTGAACTAAAAAGTCAGTGTTTGCATTGGTAAGATGTGTAACTGGTTGTATCGGCCACATTTACAAACTTTTGACACATTTAATTTTTGTATAGAAACATGAACACATCCAAGGACTAGTTGTCTGCTGTAGAAAAGTAAATGTAGTTGAACACTGTTTGCAGTTAAAGCATACCATATTTTCCGACAAAATTATTTCAAGTTTTTACCGATGTAATCTTTATTATTAAAATTTTGCAAAAATACAACAGAAACTATGCACAGTATATGGATAATTGTTTAAAATCAGTGACGAGTCCGGAAAGTTCAGGGCGGTTGTTTTTCAGCAGAAAATATGCCTCCATACAGGCAAATCAATACATGTATTACTCTGGATTCAAATCATCCAAATTTGGGAATTTCAGACACAGGAAATTAGCACCACGTGATCTTAACCGCACTTTTCGTTCACTGTCTACAGTTTAGACAAACGTTTCCTTGATACATGCTTTGGAATAAAAATGTGTCTACCTTCAATGAGGAAGGGTTATTCAAAAATAACAAATGAAAACAACTACAATAACAATCCCAAACATTCCGCTTGTCTTTCATCAAACAGGACTTTTTACTTCTTCATAACATTTCGAGGAAGGGAAAAGCGCAAGATATTTTGGCACAAAGGTTACACGAAGGATTCACAGCGGAGAACCTTTACATTACAAGTGTCGCATATCAATGATGAACTGTTACTTTAAAGCAGACTTCGAAATACGTTTCATATAACAGTCCATCTCCACACAATCACAACCAGAGGAGGATCTGTTATTAATAATGTATTTTGTCAGTTCACGAGGCATTGGCAAACTTTAACTTCATTGATGACAAAAGCAGAACATATTGCGCCTAGTTCACTTTTACAAATCAACGCCGAAGAAACTAAAATTGGAAGAGAATTATAACGCGATAAACGAATAACACGGAAATGGATTATGAAGCAGTCTGTTCGTTTTTGGCAAGCAACGCAGTCGGGAAAATTCGATGACTGATTAAAATACAAAGAGCCGACTGTCTGTCTCAACTTTGTGCTGCACTGTTAAGTGGAAACACCGTTAATACTTTCATACTCTACACTCGAAATACTGGCTAGCGAGTGAGCCGTCTTTCATTGATCGTGAAGATGCACAAAATGTGTCTTGTTAGCTTCTTACTGCTAATTACACAGCACTATGTAACGGAAGGAGGTCACCTTTCTCTTCAGCCCCAGAGCCTGAATGTCAACGAGTAATGTCACATTCACTTGCAACATCAATTCTTACTTTAACTGTGAAAGTGAAAGGAGTGACGGTCTCCAGTGGTGTATGTACACGACAGGCGCGATTTGTATTCGCTCGTGTTCCTTGGTGAATGGCTTCTTGGGCGCATGACTGTTCAACTTTATCAGCAGAATAGAACGTATCTACTAAATATCTACAACACACAGGCAGAAGACAACCGGGAATACTGGTGTCGGTTGAACTACGATCAAAATAGAACTATGATGCCAACCGTGTGACACTGATCGTAAAACCTGTTCAACAGACTTTAGTGCCGCCAACTGGTCGTTCTCCATCTTATTCTACATTGACAGCGGAAAAGGAATTCCCTGGTAGAAACATCTCAGATCAGAATTATGACATCTTATCCACAGAAAGTACATCACGTAAAAGAGTGAAAGACGAGATCATTGATACTATGACTCGGTCACCGCGTACGACCGCGCCTCTGACGCCACTCATCACATTTGCTTGCATGTAAAAAGCTTATGGCAAAACCAGCAGCGTAGCCAGAAAAGAGTGGGTGGGCAGGCTGGGCATCACAGAGGGGGCGGAACCGTTTGTTATAACTTAATTCTTTTCTTTTCAAAATTTTCAGTGGGGTGACGGGAACAAAGATTTTTCATGGGGCGAGGCATATACCCTGACCATGTCAGCATGACTGTGGCTGTGCATTCGCGACAAGCAAAGATCTAGACCTATAATGCCTAGTTCAAAAGTTATTCACGATCCAGAATTTTTGCTTTGTGCATTGCAAGTACATGTACATGTAATATCACTTATTTATGAATGTAGTACCGGTTTTCAGTTGACCAAACACGTGATCTTTGCTTGTCGTGATTGCATAGCCACGTGCATGCAGACGTAGCTGTAGATCTAGAAACCCGTTCTAGGGGTGGCCTTAGCTTAAATGTAATTTGGTATTGCAGATCTCTGTTAAAAAGCTCACAATACAATATTGAAGGTGGCAAAATCATTTCACTATTGTATATTGTTATGTTGCTACGTCTTAAACAGGAAATCAGTTCCAAGAAGGAAACTTACTCTTTTAGGTCCCTTGTCAGCGATAAGCACAGGACACGAGGCAATCATCGTAAACTCCTCGCATTTGTCACATTTTTTTCCAATTCCGTCTAAATCTGGGTCAAGTCTCCTCTTGTCTGCCACAATCTTCTCTCCAGCATCTTGTGATGTTCAATCCGTTTGCCAATCCTACTCCTACCCCTCATAATCGGCTAAGCGATGGGCTACAGGATTGGCATCATCCCCGAGTCGATAACCCTGGATATAACAGAAACAAAATGCTCATGTTTGTCATTAGTGTTGCCAGGAACATGAAACAGATTGAATTACAGTCAACCTTCGATACAAACACAGCAAGGCAAATGTTGGTTATTAATTGTGAGAAGATGGTCAGTTCCGTTAGCTGTGAACATATGTGGATCGTTGGATTATATTGGCCTCATGTTTATTGTAATTAATATTTGTAATTTTGTAGTAACAGCGTTTGTATAAATGCCTAAGGTGAGCTATGACTAGAAAGACACTTTGCATGTTCAACATAATTACCTTAAAGCTTATAAAGCAAGCACAATAAAGGAAAGAAAATCGGCACGATAATCAGATGAATGTATTAAACAGCATTATTTTGGATTGAAATTTTAATTAGGTGGTATGGAATAGCATTTCACCATTAAAATTGGGCATTTTATCATTGTTTTTTTCTTTATCGAGCATGAATGTATTGTATCCGGGACCGAGTGCTCTTCTTCCTCCTTATGCGTTGGAAAGTGGCTTGTATGTCTGTATCATCTGAACAACCTCTGCTTCTTCCAAGGTGTAAAATTAGGCACACTCTGGAGTTTTTAGATCCTTATTGGAATGATAAACCAGTCATTAAATAAAAAAACTGCCACAGGTATTATAATGCGTGAACTCTGGCACTTGGCCTTGAATCAAACACAATTTCGGTCATATTCCCCAACGTAGTGTATTTATTGGAAAACGTTAAATTCAAAGAACCAGACTATATTCTACAATTTCATTCCGACCCGCATAAAGGGTGCACCCTCGCAAAAAGGCCCGAAATATGTCCGCCGAGCTCATTAATAAAAGTTATACTCTCAAAACATTCTATATTAGAGAGTCCTGAGAACCATGAAATTGACGAATTGGAGAAATATGGCACTGAACCTCTGGCCCGGACTTTGGGCTTTCAATTCTGAGCAATTTGGGTGCAATCGGGTTCGAAAGTGGTACTATTTGGCCGTTTTGCAGAGGAGGGTTTTTCAAAATGGCTACTTTTCTGGGCAGGGACATTTTCTTCAATTTAGGGGTGGTCTGCTTCTGGTGAAAAATTCTGAAAAATTCATTGGTCAACCCCCTGAAAATTGAAAGGAAAATGAAAGGGGACATGTCGATCATCGCTTTTCTGCGCAGCCTGGACACCTGTGAGAGTTGTGAGTATTTTTAAAATAATTGTGAAGTATGGGGATTTATCATTGCTGTCTATGGGAATTTATTTGTTGTGGTACACCCCCCCCCAAAAAAAATCACCTGGTACTATCCCATTACGGGTTTAAAATTTATACTGTACGTTCAGGAATACGACTCAAATTGGGGACGCCGCGAATACAGTCTATTATACTTAACAGAACTTTAAAATTGACCCCTTATGCCTTTTTCAAATTTTTTTTAGCTTTTAACTTACCAGTGCTTTACCCCTTCCCCTCGGAAATGTGGCATGAATGAGCGGACTCAACCAAACTAACAACCACTGTCCTACCCTTGCAAATATCTCCACTCGAAGCTAACCACTGCTATGGGGGCGCTATGAAGGCCCATCAATCAGAGTGCCCCAAATGTGGAAACAAAATGGAAGTTATCACGTGTCGCAGCACGTGGTGAACAGCCATTTTGGTTCCACAGTCTGAAACTGGCGTTACTCTTTCTATTTCCTGCCATTAACAACTCGCTGTTCGCAAAATGTTTGTTGCGCATTTCAGCATAAAGGATGTCGATGACAAAGCCTGATTATTCTTAGAGTGTAGTGCAACAAATTTATCTTGGACACAATTTTTCTGTAACAGTATACCTTTCTTCAATACATTAAGTTCACTTCTGTGCTTGGTTACAAACCATAAAAAGTTTCCTTTTTAAGCTTTTAACTCCATGGTTCCCTGGACAACTGATGGCGCTGTTGCTGTGATGGCATCCAGGGACGGCAGTTCAACAAAAAACATTTTTCTGCTCGAAATGTGAACCCAGAATTTACTCACTGAAAACATTTCTTTTCTTTGAAAGGGCTGATTACTTGGTTAGTGCTATACTTAGCAAAAAATCACCACAGAACAGAAAATTTACTTTCCAGCGAAATCCTTCAAAACGCTGGAATTTTTGGAACAATGAGGATTTCTTGCTGGAATGACATCACGGTTTTGCTCATGAATATGGAAAACAACTGGCTTAAAAAACAAAAAAGCATTAAACTACCCTTTGAAATAGTGAAACGAAACATTGAAAACTGAGGTTAACTGCGACACAAAGATGAATTTTGAAGGTTTTTATTGTTGAAAAAACACTGCAGTTACCCTTTAATGCATAGGTCATCCACCCCTGCAAAGCCGTAATGCGTCCAAAGTCCTCTACAAAACGTCTGTCAATATACGAGTCATTCAGTCAATGTTATCATAAGAAAGAACGAGATTTATGTTCTGAGGGCAGGATGTTCATTCCTCTAATCCTCTCTAATTACCTTGAACACCGGATGCATTGGTATAGAGAACAACACGCAGAAGGAAAAACCACGACCTTTGCACATTGACTGATGAAATTCCCTTCAACTGCAACATCGTCATGATCAGTACCCACTAAGACTCACCGCACGAGACTTTGCACAGCGCTGCACTCTCCCGTACAGTGGTGTAGGTAGCTAAGGACTGACATTGACACTTGAGTTACAACACTGACTAAGCTTTTCTGTTGTAAAACAAGGACAAGATCAAAACAATTTGCGAGAACGGAATGGCGTTTCCTGCAAGACGGAGTGCGATAGATATATCACCATTAACCGTGTTACATCTTGCCAGCCTGTTTATTGCTGGACACTGTCAGGATTTTACCAGCGACCCGAGGAACACGACCGCGTTTGAGGGAGGCAGTGCACGGTTCACCTGCAGCTCACCCTATGCCACGGTGAACACATGCCCCGATTCTTACAGGCTATCTTGGATTCACAGACAAGACGAGGCAAGTCCCTCGATGCGAGTCGCTGATTGTAACGAGGTGTATTATCCTTTTAATCAGCGCATGATTACGGCGGGCGTTGAAAGAACACAGTATTGCCTTAATTTCCCCAATGTTCAGCCAAAAGACAGTGGACAATATTGGTGCCAACTGTATTTTGAACCGGGCAGTATCCACAACCGATTATCGGCCAAAGCTTGGTTGACTGTGAACCCACTTCTCCCAAGATTCTCTCCCTCGTGCGAGGTACAGCCAGAAGAACCCTCTATCGGCACAGAAATATCCTTAACCTGTACTCTCTCTGAACGTGACCCAGTCAGTTTCCTGACTTGGTACAAGGCTGACTCAAATAACGAACAGGTTGCAATTTCAAAATCGAGGAAAACCCAACCGGGGCAGGGCTATACGATCCAGCAGGTACTGGAACCGACTGACAACATGCTGGAGTTCACCTGTACGGCAGGACCTCATACAACTGGTCCTAGTTGCTCCCTATTCCCTCTACAAATTAATCCCTTTGTTACCGTCTCGCCTTCCTTCCTAACTCGCTACGAAGGTGAAAGGGCGGTGTTCACCTGCAATTTGGAGACAGTTCCACCAGCAGATGTGGACGAGTTTCGGTGGATGGTGTACCGAGAGGATGAATGGCAGGTGAATATAAGTCCAGAGGACAATGACTACCGCTTTGAGTTGACACCCCAGGGACAAACTCTTGAGATCCCTAAACTCACAATCGAAGACTTCGATGAGTCTAGGGTGAGATGTTCCGCAATTGTGAACGGGGCTCAATTCCAGAGTGTCAATGACTCTTTTTTGACAGTTCTATCGTCAACAGCTACGCCACCAGACGACGACACGACACAGGGATCATCAGCAGGGGCAATAATTGGTGGTGCCCTTGCTGTCGTCCTGTCCCTGGGTGGTATGGCTCTTCTTGTCATTTACTGGGTTAAGAATAAGCAAAAACTCAAACAACCGCCGCTGGAGGGAGCAGACAATCTGATCAAGATGCGAGGAAGAAAGGACGGGCTTAATGACTACACCAACGACACTGGTAATGCCCCCACATACGAAAATATCTTAGAGGACAGCCGACAATCTTCCCACCCTCTGAGCACAAAAGCATCGACGGATGACCCCGCTGAGGCAGCAGGGGTCATGTATACCCTTCCGGGTCACACAGGGAGCGGCAGGATCCGAAGATACCTGGTACCGACTTCAGCCAATGACAAGGCGGCCGACCTAACGCCAGTCGATGAACACGACTCAGCGTCAAATCAAGTTGCCAGCGAGCAGGTGATCTACGCCATGCCCTTCGGAGACGACGAAACCCCCACAACGTCGAGATCGGAAGCCCGGGGTAGCCACGACCCGTTGGAGAGTATTGGAACAGCACAGGCTACAGATGGCAAAGACACTGACAGCGCCAGGGGAATGCATTATGCTGATCTAGACCTAGATACCTCCTCAAAGACTAGAGCTAGCCAACAAGGAGGTACTACTGCTGTACCTGAAACATCTGCAGACACAGTTTACGCTGAAATACACAATGATCCATAGGAAAAAGCAAATTCACCTATACATGTATTGGCGTTTTACTGACTGGTCAATCATACACAACTTGCACAGGCCTAGTTCTTGAATCATACGCAAATTGAGCTGGACTCTTTACATTCATTTTCGTCAACACTTAAAGCGATGCTTAGAAACTAACACAGAAATGAATTTGCTGAAGATTTCTCAGGGAATTTATTTCCCCGAAGTTTATCTAGCTAGAGATGGTGTAAAAGGTCATAGTGTGTTAAAACTATTACGTTGAGCCGGGGGCGTCAAAATAATGCTTGGCAGTAGGCATCTTAAAACTTATAACGTGGGGTACATAGAAAATACTAAGTCAAGGTATTCAATATTATTAATCAAGCTCAGAAATTAATTTCAAAAACTCGAAAAGTTGTTTAAACACCTCGCTGAAGATTCCAAGCAATAGGTTATTAAGTATATATTTACCATTAGTGTTCTGATCGAAATCTTCACAAGTCCAGCAATAAGCCCTTTCAAAGGGCCTGTTATAAGTAAAGGGGTGACTAATGATACTTGAATGATTTTGTCCAAGTATATTTGAATAGCTTCTGGTGTGAATGATTCGTGGTGGACTACCATATCTTTCACTATTTAAAACCGTTCTTGGCTACTTACTGGCCTATTAACTATTGCTTAGTGTCCAAAACACTTTTGTTAGCATTTAAATGTGCCAATTCAAATTTTAATTTCAAAATACTGCAACGCTCTTTATTGTTTAGTTTAGGGTTTAAACAGCCTCATAGGACAGGGATCAAACTTTCAGAATGAGTTATGTTTCCTCGACAAAATGTACTGAAAAAGTTTTGATTCAATGCTAGTGTGTTCAAAATGCCCTACCATTGATTCAATCAGCATACATTTGGCAGTGAAATCATTTCCTTGTTTGTGGTCTGTCATCCCGTAAAGCGGAAGAGACGTGCTGGTAAAAGGCACGGTCAAGTTCCTCTTCCAGGTTTTTGTTACTTTTGTTTCTGCGGAAACCTTTTCCTTCACTCGTGTTTATTTATTTAACCTGACTTCTGCATGTTTCAACTAACGCAATAATCTCTAAAGTCCGAATCTTGAACTCGGGGATTAGTCTTAATTCCAGGACCTTCCAGCCTCCGCGATACGAACCACCACTAAAAGAATTGTCAATCTAAAAGGAGGAAAACGAAGGTCTTGGAACCAAGACTAAGCGGGTAAAACTGGGGTAATAGTTCACTTGAGGACCTCGTGAAAATCTAGTTCCTCTTTATTTTCCGTAACGTTTGCCATCTTTGCAACTGAAGATAATATTCCAGTCCATATCATTCGAGAATTTGCTTGTGAGTTGACCACCCCCATCGCATATTTTTAATACTTCACTTCAACTTGGTATTGTTCCTGATGTTTGGAAACGAGCTATTATCGTCCCCATCCCCAAAAGCTCTCCTGCAGTGGTTGACAAGTTAAGACAAATAGGATGCGCTGACCATTTTGCTAAAATTCTTGAGAGTTTTGTTGGTAAATGGACTGCAAGACTTGAAACATTATATGGATGATCAACAGTTCGGAAATAGAAAGGGTTTATCTACTACACATTGCTTGATAGATTTATTGCATACTTTGTACAAACATGCCGAAACCAGGAAAGCAACATCCACTTTGGTTTTGACTGATTACAGTAAGGCATTCGACAGAATCGATCACAACATTGCCATACAGAAACTGATTAATCTGAATGTGAACCCATCCTTAATTCAATGGACTTCAAACGTCCTCACGAACCGCAAACGGTGTGTGCGCTACGGGGGTCTCACGTCTGACTGGGTTACAGTGCACGGGTTACAGTCATTCCACAGCCAGAAGACAGCAGATTACGTCGGTCTAAATTAGTATCCGAACCAAGGCGCAAAACAAAGAGATTTAGGAACAGTGTTATCCCCTATTTATCTCGATTAATTAACTCTATGAATCGATCCATATGACTGTGTAGAGGATCTTTGCATCGTTGGATATGTGTGTATTTTAAACTGTGGTTATATGTATTGTCTCATATACATTTATATATATTTCTGTTGATTCAATTCCCATCCTAACCAACACTATGTTCCCTACCCCACCCCACCCAATCCAACCCTACTTACCTCGACTCCATCCCCTTCCCATATATTTTACACCCCGTCCCACAATACCCCAATATTTACCTTTTCAATCCTGCCCAGTTTTATTTCCTTCACATGTATTATTTCCCATGTTTAACCTTTTTGTGTGTTAAACGTACGTAATCGATGATTTGTTTTTATTAAATCTAACTTAATTATATTTTCGAGTTTAAGTATAATTGTGTATCTTATTTTATAATAGTATTTGTCAAGATTATTTTGTATGTCCTTTTTAATTACATGTAGTGTACTTTTATTTATTGTTGCAGTCTTACACAATTCCGCTTTTGTGGCAAGAAGACTGATATAATAAACCATTTAATAGTAATTAAGTTGCAAATCAAAGCTATTCTGATAGCTTTTTTCATTACGATTATGCTATGATTATGATAAATGGAGTACCCACAATTTGAAACGTGCCAGCCAGATTTTAAGGTTTGGTGGCTACTTTTAAACATGGTGGGAACCAAGCAAAACACGGCAGGCGGCCAGGTTTAATACTTCCCTTGGTTAGGAATACGAACAAGTTCTCAATGGTTAGAAATTAGGCTACAGGAAAAAACAAAACCCAAACCCCAAAATGTAAAACAAAAAAGAAAAGAAACGAAAAATATTCTAGAGCTCGTTTTACTTTTTTATCGGGTCTGTATTAAAACAAACACAGAACTGAGAAAAGTAGCATTAGTTTTAATTTTGCATGACTGTAAAAAAAATGCTCATTTATTTTATTATATATCGCCCTCTTGCGGTAAAAATCAAAAGTATTATTTTCTTTGGGCATGAATACACGGACGTAAATAAAAAAAACCTGCACTTGCAACGCCTTTGTATATGAAACAGAAGCCAACCAGCGGCCATTTACCGAGCCGAATACAAATGCGCAGGTTGGCTCGCTTTTATTGAAGCCAGGGAGAACAAAGGCAGTCATTGCTGGGCAAGCTTTGTACACGTATTCGGCTTGCTAGTGGATTCAATGGCTGAGTTCGGGCGGCTTGTTCCAGTATGTTCACGAACAGCTCGATTTGTTGTTCGTGGGTCGGCCGCTCGAACGCCAAACAACCGGTTATCACAGACAACATGCAACATGGCGGCGTCCATGTACGTTATTCGAGACTTAAGGTTTGGATGGGCTGAATTCTTTTTTATATAAACAGGAACATTCATTTCTGAGTTTCGGAAAATAATTAATGCTTATTTTGCAAAACTTCCCATTGTCTACATGGTCTATGGCTTTGGAAACAATCTCTCTAATTTTTGTAGCTGTTGAAAAATCAAAATCTCACGAGTTTTTCCGTGTGTTCCTGTAAAACCCTGACGAGGAGGTGGTGCGTGATCCTGTTCCGAAAACAGTGTTCTTGAGTCGTGTTCCCGCCGTTCGAG